CACTTTGACTGGAACCCTATCCTGGCACAACCACACATCATCATCAGAATCTTTCAGCGGGACAGGGGTTGAGAATCGTACAGATATTCCATTGCCATTGTATCCAGGCGATTTACCATCAACAGTAAGCCCGCTGGCTGAATTGCTGCTCACCTACCCCGTTAATCGACCATTTTGCGTCCTTAGGGAGGGCAGAACAACGAAAAATGTTGTCTCCGAAGACGTTGTACGGGTGACGTGCTACTGTGACGATGTTTGTTCTATTTTTGATGATTGTTGCTGGCCACTCGATCGTTACTGCAGAGACATAAAGCTAACAGAATTTTTTATTGAACCAAATCACACGGAGTGTTGGTTACAGGGTACTCGAGAAATTTTGGGCGTTTACAGCAAGTACTACTGGGTCGTTAAGTCGTGTCCGCAGCAATGGGCGGACCCAGCGGTTAGGGCGAAGTGCGAGTTTAGCCGCCTCCCAACGAAAATGGATGTTCTTCTACCTGTCTCGTCAAAAGAGCACAATATCACTTTTAAGAATATCTATTGTGCCGCTTGTCATGGGGTCGTGAAATTCCAAGCGTGGACGCCGAAACTAGTCTGCGAAGAAACCCAATTTGAAACGTTTGTGAATGCAACAACTTCTTCGGGAATTCTGGAAAAGGTATTCTCGTTGCCCGATTGTATGGTGCTATTTGAACCCCCGGAGCGTTATCCAGGGCGTCCTTGCATCGGTCCTGGAGGGAGTCATGACCCCGTGAAAGGCCTAGAAGACGACCGATGCAATTATTATGCTGACAAAGACCTAGTCACACTTTGCCAGACGAAGCCTGTGTCCATAGCCTATTACCACTCTAATATCGGATACGGCTTTGGACGAAACGTTTTTTGTTGGCTGTGTCAGGTGTCCAGTGAGATAGGGGTAGAAAAACAAGAATGTGATGAACACGGTATGTCGAAAACGATATAGATTTTGACTACATTTTAAATTGGGGAAGGGGGGCGGGGGTTCTCCGAAATTTGCATGAAATGATCCATTTAATCGTCAAACCAATAACATTTATTTTACCTGTGTATATTCAGTCTACTTATTAAAGAGAAAGGGAGGCTAAATTCGCGTTTTCGTTATTTTTTCTGCGTTTATTATGATAAAAAAGATAAGAAACGTTGCCTTAATAAGTTCATCTTAAGGTCAGGCCAAGCTCTTTCTACAATCCTACTTGTGCTAAATTCATAACACTTAAGTTCACATAATGCATTGTTTCATTGTTTGGAAATTCGTAGAAGAAGAAGCATATCTGGCTCTCTGTGGGGAAACTAAAGACTCGTTCATATTGAAACTGTCGGTCTACACAGATCGATCCACCTACGCAGGGATTTTTGATGAATGCAATCAGTTTAAAAGATTACACGCCTCTTCCTGAGTATTTTACAGAAAAAACGGTGATTATACTAGTATGTCGGAAGCAATAGGAGGAGTGTAAATCTTTAAACCTGGTAGCATTCAGTGATAGTCACTGCGAAGTTGCATCGATCTCCGTAGACCGAAAGTTTTATTGGAAATGATCCCTAACATTACGTTCTTCTTTCAGAGAAAACTGATCTCAAAATATTCGACTCACTTGGTTTCTCCGCTGTCATAGACTTCCAGAAAGAAATGCAATGTCAACAAAATAAACACGACGTAAGCATGGAATGTTTGGAATGAATGTATTAATATACTAAAGTTGTTAAAAAGGATAAAACTCTCTATTTGCCGGGGAAAGGAAAATGCCAAAAAGACAATTTTTCTGGGGTAAACGACCATTTTCCCATATTTTCCGATTTTAATGAATTACTTTCGGCATTAAAAGTTAGTCAATTACATTTTTTCTTTAAAGTGTGATTTTTAGAAACAAAATAATCTATTAAGAAAGGTAGCCGTGCATACAGGTCCAAGTGGTCCTACGGCAAGCACAGATTTCAGAATAACTGTAATAATCGTTTTGGTGAATTTTTTTAATTAATAGTGTCACAGACAATGCTTTTTTACCTGGTCATTGAATACTTCTCAGCGCAAGATTATTAGCGCATGACCACTTTGTCCTGAGGAAGGCTCTTGAGCAGAGCTGAAAATTTGACGATAAAAAAAGCATTGTCTTTGACACGATTAATTCAGAAAAATTACCTGATGATCTTGTATTCAATGACCAGGTAAAAAAAAGCATTGTCTTTGACACGATTAATTCAGAAAAATTACCTGATGATCTTGTATTCAATGACCAGGTAAAAAAAGCATTGTCTTTGACACTATTAATTCAAAAAAATTCATGTCTATTTACCAGACTAATGAACTTTTTAAAGAACCGTTTTGGTGGTTGAAAGGAATTTGCTACAATTTATGTGTTGTCTACAATGTTTTTATTAAAGGTAATAGATCTGAGCGCTATACCTTTACGCAACAAATTTTGAGTTTTCATGGAAAATTCAATACAGAATAACAGTCATTCATAGAGAGGGGAACAGGCATTAATTTACCAATAACGTGCAGAAATATACACTGCAAACAGTTTGGAAAGACCAGAAGTTTATAACTAATAGGCAATATTTTAATGTAGAGAAGGGTATAAATAGGATTGGTGGTGAGTAGATTAAGGGAGGACATGGGCAGTGGGAATAAAGCTGTTTGGAAATATTGGTGCTTATTTCTTCTTGATCGGTGAATAGAAAATAGAATCTTAAGGGGGGGGGGGGTCAGATAAACCCTTCGCACTGGCAGCATAATGCCTGCAGATATGATGAATAGAAAATCGAATTTTGCAATATTCAGTCGGTCCGTAAAGAGGTGTCAGTATAAATATTAGTATAAGCCGCAGGCATCATGCTGCATGATTTTAGCATGGGTTTATTAAGTCGCCAAACAAATGAATTTAATCAACGATTTTTGGACAATAAATGTTTTTAATGTTTTTTATAGATTAATTTCATGAATGACTAAGACCAATAAAAAATAATAATTTTACAGCTTCCTGACACAAACCTAAATTACATTTGGCACGGGTTCGTTACGATGAAATTGCGTACGGTTTTCCCTGCGATGCTTTTGACAGCGTAAATAGCTTCCTAAAACTGATTTGTTTTCGCTTTTCTGATGGCCAGCAATTAAGAAAACAATTTTAAAAGCATAGAACGGGTCAAAAAAAAAAAAAAAGAAAAAGAAAAAACATGCATTTTTATCGTTTGTTTTTTTAACAGCTGACGTTATTTCTTTGATTCACATTTTTGACTTTTGTTTTTAGAAATCGTGCCAACAGCATTCATGCCAAGAGAATGACCCAGGATGTTTGATACCCTTGACTGGCTTCGTCAACATGCAGTTCACTCTGACCCTGAAACTTACCCCAAAACAAAGCTGGCAAGACTTAATTGTCTTGATTGAAGCATGCATCTCGATCAGTTTATTCACGACCCAGTCCTCTCTCTACATCGACCCCTTACACGAAGGGATATATGGTTATGCCTTACAAACAGGATGTGGCACCCCGTCGTTACATGGAGAATACACCCTTGTTCGTGTACCAGTTAAACTGGCGAAACCTGTCCCCCGCATCCCTGACGGCTTGCGTTGGTTCGAACGATTTGAAGATCGAGTCGCGGCTTATATTCAAGACGTTGGTAGCCAGCTCTTTATTGGCAACATACCTTTTAATGCAAGCGTCGTGTTTAATCGCACATCCGGAAACGTCTCTGACGCAGCATTGCCGGCTACTTCTACATATGGACACGGCACGTCTGTTTGAAGCAGGGGATGCGCCCTTCAAGTGCCTTGGGTACTTAATTTGCTTGTGGCATTGGAGTGTTTGTTTCTTAAACTATTTCCCTAACTATACGCGCTAGGAGAAGCAGAGGTCAGTACTGGTGTGTTTATTGAAAAGAAAATTACACAGGTTCTCCAATGACTTGGGACAATAAACAGTACGATAACCTGTGGAGAGAAGCAGATTAAAACCCGGACGTTTTCTAAAACAATGATGTGAAGTTTTGTACCCTTAACGTTACTTCTCTGGATCCCAGACTTGAAAAAAATCCCACAATAAAGTCAAGCTATTTTTGTCGTGGTAGACAAAAATCTGGCGCAAAACTAAAGCAATAGAGACTTTGGTAAAGAAAACGTCACAATACTGAATCAAAAGCTTTTTCAAAGTCAATAATTGTGTAATAATTTAAGCAACGCTTATCTATGATGGATATTTTCAAACTCAGTGGTTTTTCATATAATATATCTTTTGTACCCTTACTGATAATTTCACCAATTTGGATTAAATCTTTTCATTTGAGAATAAATGATAAAAAGTACTTTAAGAATTTGTATTAAGGGTGATGATGAAGATGCCAGTTTTCAGAGACGTTATCTGTCCTGTTCTGAAAACACGCAGTTTTAATCCTTTCACACATATAACCTTTTACCCTACGAAGATCGTTTTAAAATCTGAAGGCAGCACGAGCCAGAATCCAGGTTATGGCTGGATTTTCCTCACATAGGGCACATTCATATCGAGAAGAGCCGAGGCCGAGGTCTAGTAAGGCCGCGACCTAAATATGGCAGAAATATGAATGGAAGATCGCTAATCCTGTTAATCCTCACCGTCGTCCCTGCACGAGCACTGTAATTAAACCTCAGCTCAGTTTTAACCGGTCGAGGGACAACGCGTGGGGAGGCGTGTGAGAGACCATTAAAAGATTAGTGGTCTTCCTTTCATGTAGGTCCGCCATATTTAGGTCGCGAACCTTATTAGACCTCAGTCTCCTCGATGTGAATGCTCCCATACAGTTGCATTAATAGTGGACTAATAGATCCATGGATCAAATGTGGTCGATTCACTTAAAAGCGTGCCACCTAATCCACTAATAGGCATTGAATAGATTCACCGCAGGGCTTGTGCAACAATCCCTCATGTGGGTCGGCCATATTTGATCCATGGATCTATTAGTCCACTGTTGTGAACACGACCAGAAAAAAAAATCACCTAATTCATTAGCAACAAAGAATCTGTCTTTACTCTCTCACAGAACTTGTAGGTCTCACAACATACCAGGACCAGCACATTAAACGCCTTAGCCAGGAGTGAGATCTGGGAAGTCCCCACTCTGGGCATGACGTAACCAATGGCTAACAAAGTATGTGCACCTAAGAATACTTTCGTAGCCTAGAATTAATTTGATAAATTAGTGTTATTTTGATTGTTATATAAAATAAAATATGTACTTGAAAGTGAATTGTCAAGTCAGACAAACCCACTGTGCTAGAAAAATGTTCATTTTCTTTCAGGCCCCCGTTTCACAAAAAAACTGAAGTCGGTTTCCCTGACTAAGAGCTTGGTTACCAACGTAATTAAGTCGTTACGTCACTAAGTCCCGTTTCACAAAGAATCTAAAAGGTCGCTTACGTCGTTTTTTTTTTCTTACCTGCTAGTCGACGATGTCTAGCCTCCTCGGGAGTAGACTTAAGTCGGCAAGCTCAACTAAAATTCGGTACATGGGAGAATAAACAACAAAAATTTGGAAAGAACATACATCCTTCAAGATATTGTGTTATAATATCCTTGAATAGCACTAACATTTATGGAATATTGAAATAAAAAATAAAATGCCACTTCACCCAGCCGATCGCGTGTTTGTTTATGTTTTTGACCGCTAGACGTCCGTCAGCAGTGTTCCACGACAAGCTAATGTTTAACTGTTACTTTGAAGTTGTATTGAAGTTAAACTAATCAATAAAGTTCAAAAACAAACTTTGTTTGTGTTTTGGCTGATTTTTTAGTATACAATATTTTTATTATTGATAAACGACTTTTACACTTCCTTTTCTTGAAGAGTTTCTCGTGCGCGTCGACTACGATAAGCACGCCAAGCTAAGACGTTAGATTCTTTGTGAAAGACTCCTAGTCGACTGCAGCGTAGTCGATCTAGCTAGGTCACTCAGCTCGAGCTAGTCAACTACGGATTTAAGATTCTTTGTGAAACGGGGGCCAGGGGACAGTGTGAACCGTGTTGGTTGAGACAAAACATTTTATTTTGTGCCAGGTGAGGTATTTAAATGCACAAAGGCAAACCATGATCATTTCCTCAACAAAGACATGATACATTTTACTGAAACAGATAAAATAATTTCTGTAGTGTCCCAAAATGTCGTGAGCAGTGTTTGATGAGCCAGTGTACATAGCACAGGCTTAGACAAAGTTCACTTGCCAAGAACAGAACACTGTGTTAAAGGAGACAATGTGCATTGTGTTGGTTGATCCATTGGGCATCGTATTGGTTTACATTTTGTGTTGGTTGACTAATTGTGCATTGTATAGGATGAGATATTGTGTTGGTTTTCAAAGTTGGCTGGACAGGTTACAAAATTTCGGGTTTGATTGGTAAGGCAAGCTTGGATTGGCCTCCCTACAAATCATGCATTGAGCAAATTACAGAATGATCCACATTTCGGAATCCCCGTACCCCAAATCCTGGTAACACCCCTCTCACTGGCCTCCTTTATAACGTAAGAAGCTGTATTGATGAGAACATAGGAACACTTAATGCCATGTCTAACAAGGCGACGGAGCATCTCTCGCCCTTCTAACTTTGGACAACCATCAACGACGATAACATTGTCTTCCTTTGCAGTGTGCATGGCAGAGTATCTTCCGGACCAAAGAAGAGCTGAAAAGAGAAGCAAATGGTTAGCATACATGTTTAAACTGAATATGTTTCACTATTAGGAAAAAAAATTAAAACTCTCACCATTAGTATAACTATCCCAACTTAGAAAAAGTTTGTTCCAAAAGTTTTTTAAAAAATAATCAAACCTAAAAAAAGTGTTCACCAGTCACCAACCAAAGACTAGAAGGACATCCCCATCTTGGATTTTCTGCAGAGCAGTAAGAGAGATGGCTTTTCCAGCTAAAACTATATTTTCTTGCAGGAAATCTTCAATTACTTCATTCAAATTTCTTTTGCCCTGGGGAAAAAATCTTTAATTTTCCTCACAATTTCCATATTTTTTACCTTAAAGTTTCATTTTTTAAGAGAAATTGTGTACAAGATTTCTACCAAACACTATATAAATCACATAAATATGAAATTACAAACATTGAAGTACACAACTTATTTGCAAAGATGAATTGCCCAAGCTTAAAGACTCAAAGCCAAATATGCCAAACTGTATTATAGACCTATAAGAGGCATCAACTTATTTAAAAGTCATATTTGTCAAAATCAAGTTTTAGTGTAACAGGCATAAATAAACAGTCTTATTGAAATTCATATCTGGACCAGTGAATCCAGACTTGGGCCAGCAGATTATATGACTTCTGGTACTCTGGGGCCGGTTTCACAAAGCAGTAGTTAGTTAGCGATCGGTAGTTAGCCTCTCGCTAGTTAGAGTGCCGTTTCACAAAGCAGTCGCTAGTTCTCTCGCTCGTTATTGTCTCGTTGTTGCCTTGGATATTTAAAGGTACATACGAACCGAGCATCGGTGGAGTGTGGATTCCCAGTAACACATGTAAACCACTTCTACTAGATTCTTATATGGCTCAAATAAATTCGACATGCCAAGGNGCCCCTGAATGGCCAGTAACCTAGAAGTTTTTAACCTGGCAGCCATCCAGACATATACATTTTTGTATGACCACAAACAGATATGAATTTCGGTTGTTTGGAAATACATTATAGGCATTAATGGCTTGGTGATCCTAAGACCCTGGATGTGCTTAAGCTTAAACTGTTTAGAAAAGAAAAAAAAAAAAAAAAACACCTCCGAGTATGGCATCTCACTTGGTGTATGGATGATGTGCCACTTGAGTGCTTTGACAGCATTCCCCATACTGACTGAAATTGGCCGACACTGGGCCAAGACACTGAAGAAAAGAATAAGATTTTTTTTTTAATGTTGCACTATTCCATATATTTATATTCATTGTACTGTATTTTTCCATTTGATAGCTTTAGCTAAAGCCCTTCCACTACTACGTTGCTGTAATGGGCTGGCACTGCATCAGACACTGAAAAGATTAACTGAAAATTTAAATTTTTTGCTGTCCACTTGAGAGCTTTGAAAACATTCCTCAAAGAGACTGAAACAGCCCAACCTGGGATAGAAATATTAACTTATATATATATATATATATATATATATATATATATATATATATATATATATATATATATTTTTTTTTTTTTTTTTTTAATTTATTTATTTATTTTTTTTTTATTAAGGATGATTACCAAGTGGGACTTTGAAAATATAGTTACTGAAATTCAAAAAGCCAAAAGCCAAACGGGGGGAAAATAATCAAACAATTACAGAAAATAGTGACCTAGTCAAGGTAGTTATTGTCTTACACAAAGGAACGCAGTATATAGCAAGTAGACCTGTCAGTCTTGTCCTACCTTATGCATGGTTTTATTTTGTTATCTAAATCTCTGGCTGACTCCTTTTGTGGAGGTGTGGTATAGTCACGAATGACCTGTGAAGAATTTGTAAAACATAAATGCATGCAGAGGAATCTTTTTGGATAATTTTTAACACATTAAAGTGAAAAAATGACGTATCTGAGTTTTCTTTTTTGGTATATCTGGGATTTCACTCTGCTTTATTTATATTTCTGTCATGTATCTATTTCATATTAATATTAAAAAAAAAGAAAAAAAAAAAAAACAAGAGTGAGCCACTGTTCAAGAGAGACCCAATCCATACCCACCTGCTTACGCCTTGCGTTGGACCCACACACCACCCCCTCTACATACTGTAAGCCCAGCTTTAAGATGGCAGGGTGGATAGCAACATTGTTTGAGAATCTAGAAAAACAATAATATTACTCTTAAAACCCAAGCTGTTTACAGAATTCATCAATTATATTTACCCCAGCAAGCTAGTTGTTGGTATTTTTGGAAAAAAGTTTTTTGGTAGTCTTGATGCAGAATTAGATTCATGGCAAAGAAAAGATTCTTAAATCGTGACTTATATAAAACTATCACCTTAAACTGATAAATAATATAAATCATCACAAGTTAGCCTGAATTCAACCTAAATTGGTTCCTCTCTGATCACGTCGCTACACTGTATCCATGCTTATACTCTGAATAGCCTGAGTCCGGGAGGTGCCTCTCTCAAACTGCTGGAGGTGCCTGAACAGACCCACTTTCCTCTCAGTGGCGGCCCTCTGGGGCCCCTGTTGTCCTTCTAATTTCTTGGCAGCTTTCTTTTGTGTGGCTGCATCGTCAACCTTGAGATGGTCAGGGACACGGATAATTTTTCCTTTGTACCGCCTTCTTTTTTCTGGCCTTCAACAGAATTGAACCATCAACATTAGTATATTCATTATACTTTTTTCACATTTCTTTAAGAAATTATTTTTTGAATTACATTAATTTTTACTACACTGCAGTCTAAGACATACTTTTCAATGAATTAAAATTTGAAAAAAATATGATAAGCTTAACTGCCATCGTACTATATAAATAAATTAAACTATATAGATTAAATTTTAAAAAATTGAAGAAAAAATTCTCTACATTTGATATTTAAAAATTGAAGAAAAAATTATCTACATTTAATATTTACCTGCCCCTCCCTCCTTGATAGAAGTTTTGGCAGCACGCTGATATGTAGGGTGTATATGTATGGCTTTTAAGTTAGGATTTCCAAGGTTTAGTTATTTAGTTTTAGCTGGCCTTGCGAGGAAATTTATTGGAATGTATTTCTAAATAACAAGTTAAGAAAATTCACTAGTTCACTAGAGACAAAACAACTGTCACTTTTACTTTAAAGCACCGTTTTTAATATTTTGATAAAGTTCGTTACAGTATTGATAAACATAGTATCACGTTTGAAATATTTAACATTTTAAATTATGATCCATGTCTTGCATCACGAAGACCTAACAACAACGTTGAGTCAGCGACCAAAATACAATTTTGAGTCAACGTCACATTATGACGGCGTTTTGATGTGGCTGGATCAACATTGATTTGACGTTGAATTTAGGTAGATCAACGGCGATTCAACGTCCCAACCTGTTTTCAACGTTGATCCAATGTCACTATGCCTTCTGGGCTCTTATCTGCCTTTAACTGTGCTTTTGACTTTTTAAGAGCATTTGGGTCTGTAGATTTTTGCTGACCTTTAACCTTATCATGACCTTTATCTTGACTTTGACCTTTAGATTTCTGGCTTCCCTGAGACCCAGTTGATGATTCACTCAAAGTCCTCGGTGAATTGTTTTTTGATTTTATAAAAATAAAATAATCAAAAAAAAAAAAAAATCTCAAAATAAATTTACATTTCAACTTTAATTCAGGTTCAAATTGTTGTACAGACTTGACATTTAATATGGAATATTTCAGTTTTAAAGGTATACCTAGGTAAAAATGCCTTCTTTTTTCAAAAAACTCAGATCTCACATAAGATATCTGACTGGAGAAGTATGAAGTCAGGTGTGTCGCTACCAATTAACTGACTACCAAGTCTGTTGCACTGCTGCATTGTGTAATATGCAGTGATTTAATTGTCTGGTGCTCCTTTGGGCTGGTCAAAGCTTGGCTTTGATGAAGCATGGTTCTGTCAAAAAAAGTATCCATATGTCGGCAACTACTGTATCGAAGAATTTGAAATTTTGCATGCAAACGGTCTGTTTTGCAGTGCGTAAAATGAATTAAGCAGTGTTTTTTAAAATTGTTGAGCTGTGCCACAATGGCGCGAAAAAGACAGACATTGCCAGACAGATTATTGTGTCAAACGGAATGGTCTGCACAGTTTTATAGGGTTATGCCCAGACTGATGCACCTACACAGAGACCACGCCCAATGTATCGACATCTTACCACCAGGTTACAGGACTCACTGTCCTTCAGGATATGCTGCTGCAATTAAACCGAAACCATCCAGTCCGTTTTGAATGAGGGGCAAATTGTCACCAAAACGCGTTTTTTCAAGGCTCTTAGCGAACACCAAAATGGTTTCAGCAGGTTAGGATATCAGGCGACCTCTGAGGAAGCCACTGTAAACAGCTAAACAGCGTAGTCTGTTTCTCTAATGAATTGGGGACCCTGACCATTTTTGGGTAGAACACTGAAATCGCGTGCCTTTCTTTATTGAAGTCAGATTTCACCCGTACCGCTAAAATGGTCAAAACAGAGTTTACAGACATCCTGAAGAGGCCTACGACAAGACGTGTGCCACTTTTTAAGTGACTAGGGTCATTGGAAGCATCACTATTTGGAGTGGATACCACATTGGTGCCAAAACACTAATGGAAGTCATCGATGAAAACCTGAACCAGATCAAATAGAGGAATACTCTGGGAACCACTTGACCATCATTTGATAGGGGGCACCTTAGGAACAATTTTAGGTTGCACGATGAGATTGCCGGTTCACACAGAGCACTTTTAATAGCAGATAACTTACAGAACCAAGGGAATGAGCAGCTACCTTGGTCATCAAAATTGCCGTATTTGAACCACAGAGACAATATGTGGCTAGGTCATTACTCGCTGTATCAACGGCCTGTATGTCCTACAACAAAACTGAACCAAACTGACCAAGTCTTAACCGTTGCCTGAAATTTTATTCCAGATTAAACTCTAAAACCCATTCTTAGGAATGCCTTGTCGCTTGAAAGCTCTGGTAGCGGCAAGATGAGGTCCAACGTAACAGCGACCATTGCTGTGACTAGACACCCACATGAGGGGCCTTTGTGGGGCGTGTAACTCTTTTAAAGACGATAATTAGGAAAATATGGAGATCGAAAATATCGCTTTCAATGGTTGTCGTATGACTTAAAATAGGCAATGTATTTTTGTTTGCTTCACTGGCGAATTCAATTAATGGACTCATGTCACAATAACATCGAACAGATTATCAAAAGTTTTTAAAACACGATTTTAATCCTTATTTTCATTTATCAGTCAGCAAAATAGGAAAAAAAAAATGATTAATTATGATTTGGAAAAAATATTCCATATTAAATGTCAAGTCTGTAATTAATCATAACTTGAACATAACTTGAACAGTTACTTTTTAATAATTAACATAAAATGAAATTGGCATGCAATCATGATTTCTTTTCATTCAGCCGTAAGTAGAAATTGTTCATAATGCATTAGCATCCATATCAAACACTGAATTTGAGAGATTTTTGAAACTGCAGAGAAAAGCGGATAGTGCAGATAATAATATCCAGTAGTCTCTGCAACAAGGAGAAACCACACCTTGAAAATTATGAATACCTGTATTTTTTTTCTTCAGGTTACTTTATCTGGATAATTACTACAACAACGATTAATTATAAGAAAGCAGAAAATAAAACATTAATATTCATACGCTTGTAATGTTAAATAAAATGCCAAGCAAAACAGTATGGTACATGTGTTTCTTCATAATATGTCAATGTAATGGATTCAAAAACGTCAAAGTTTTAATTTCATTTCTTAATCTAAAAATCATTTATTGCATGAAAATAGGCCAAAGTGCACAAGCACAGACCTTAAGTAAGGTAGCAAGACGGTTCATATTAAATTACAAAAGGTGATCATAATATGGACAATTAATAAAATATATCATTCGGCAGACATGGTATCATCAATTACATAGCTCAGTGTTAGACCTGAGAAGCATGAGTCTGAAAGCATCATCAGTGAAGATTCAAACCATGAGAATATTCTGTCCGTCGCTATGCCCTAGTTAAAATCAGTTTATGATCAGGAGCAAACCTGTAAAAAATTGTTAAAATTATCAACTCAAATTCCCAGTAAAATGCATCATGTAAGAAAGAATTGGTGTTGATATGAATGTCATTATTTAAGATATTTGTAATAGTACTGAAATGTAATTAGTCTGAGGCGTGCATGCAGTCTTAACCCTTGATTTCTTTGCACTGTTTATTAAGGGATAACAAATGTTCATTTTGACAAAAATAAAAAGAGAATTTCCCTGGGGTAAACCACAGTTTTCCTTTTAGTTACCAATGACTAATGAATCCATTCCAATGGTGAAATTTTTAAAGAGAGGGTTACCATGTATGTAGGTCACGAAGTCCAATGACAACCACAGATTTCAGAATAATTGCGATATCCTTCCATTTTGTGGGAAAATGGAATTTATTCTCTTTCTATCTGTAGTTTACTATGCATTTATTGTAAAATATGGATCTCACACGAAGAGTTGTCATCTCTTCAATAAGTGACGATTCTTTTACAGGTCCACCTGAGAACACACCAAACGTGAATGGGACTTTTCTACCAAGGTCTGGTTCGGGATTTCCTTCCAATTATTTTCACGAAATATCCCAATGTGGTACCGGACCCGGTCGTAAGCACCAGCCTGACATACCTCGCTCAAAATATTTATGAAAATGGTTGATGAAAATCTAGGGCGAGCCTTACCTGTACAGATGAATGGGAAGCTGGGCTGATATTATTTAGTTATAATGGTTAGGGTTAGCCTGACGTAGGCTGGTCAAAATCTAGGGCGAGCCTTACCTGTACAAATGAATGGGAGGCGGACTCTTAATCATGGGGAACTCTGACACGTTACACCAGAATAGACTATACGTTCATTGGATCTTTGAAATATCTTTATCACATAAAAGCTTATATTTTAGCTATCTATCTGTTTATCTATCTATCTGCCGGTCTGCCTGTCCGTCTTTTCTTTTTTTCGTATTTTTACTTTCCTCATCTTTCGTCTTTTGCTGCTCACTCACTGTGGTGAATATGCGGATATCGTTTCGCAGATAATTTCATCATTTGTGATATTTTCAAAAGCATCTTCTGTATTCAAACCAAACTGTAGTTTAATTTTTGACATTTTTAATCACTATTGTTTAATAAAACATTTTAATAGAAATATATTAAATAATAATCTATTTAAGATATGATATATAGTACGTGGCATTTGTAAAACCATATATCTGCAAGGTATGGATATGTTAATATATTTCTAGGGATGAAAGAACTTAGAATTGTGAACAGATAAATAAAATCTATATCTGCAGGTATATATGCACATGTACTTATATATAAAAATTAGATAATAAATGATGCATAAGAAGTCATTTTTGTTACTAAAGCCAACAAAATGCCAGCATATAGTTTCAAATAGTATAAATAATTGAAGTACCAAAAGACATTGTTTAATATTACCCGAAAAATGATTTTTGAAGGGATTTTTCTGCAACATGTACCTTTCTTAGCTGTATATAAATTGGACCAATCAGCAGGTCAGATAAGTAGGTTAAATTTACGACCAAATTTATAGAAAGGAACAGTTTAAAGTTTGAGCAAAGGGTAGAAACTTGAGAAAACTTGCAGGTTGAAAAACGTTTTAATCCTCAACCATTAAAATGTCGTGATCAACGCTGCACAAATTTTACAAATCACCAGTGCATGAGTATAAGGGTTAAAATCTCTGTAAGAGGGTAATGACCTACATGTACTCTTGTTAGTCATATTGTGCCGTGATAAAAGGGAATGAGCAGGTATTACTGGCCAAGACAAGAGCAACACCCATCTAAATTTATACATTTGAAGACATCGATGTATCGTCAACTTTAATAAAAGGCCACTAGGATCTCTTTTGTATTTTATCTTCCTAATGTTCCTTACCAAACCTATAGTTTGACAGCCACAGGACTTCTACTAGCGCGTATATGGACCTTTGAAAGTCACCATATTCAAACATGGTTTGATGGGGTGCAAAAAGTGGGTACAGTGCAAACAAGGCGGGTTGTATTTTTTGATTGAATGTCTTATGAAGGGTCATATTTATCAACAAAATGCATCATGTATGAATATTGTAAATATATAAGTAGATGAGGAGAAAATAAATGATTTGCATGTTTGCTGCAGAAAATCTGCTTCGAAAACTGGAAAAACGATAATCAGGCATAAATCCCTTGAAATACGATTTTGGGCTTATCATTTGGAAGAAGTTAAAGAGGTCCTCAGGCAAGTATTTCAGCCCAATAAGGTAAACTTTTGTGAACCGTCACATTGTTGCACTTGTCTGCTGGTTAGAATGACTGGCATTCTTTTTCAAATGGGGGTACGAAGTTGCAAAGGGTCCACAGAAAATTTATTTGCTGGACACCAGATGGGGGCATTCCAAAATACTGAAATCACGTGGATCGCCTTTCAGTACATCATTTCATCTGTCAATTCATCCGTTGGCAGTGAACATAGAAATAACCGCATATTTCATGTGTGTCGCAGCTTCCTTTATTTTCGTTTCCTTTTTTCAGAGTTTTTGATCAGTGATATTTAAGTGCTAATTGATGAATCTCTGCGTCTACGGTTGCAAACGCGATATGCCTCTGATGTATTCTATTGTGTCTTAGATATGGAAAACGGAAAAACCTGAAACACTTTGAGAAGACTGTGGTTGAATTATAACAAGTGGATGGATCTTTTCTTTGCGCATAATGACGTTTTGCGCTGCACGCAGGAACCCGATGCTACTTTTTACAGTGTCCCTTGCGTCACGTAATAACAATTTTTAGCTTCATCGAGTTGTTATTCAACATTCTTTGATCATTCGAAATTATTTGATAAGGCATCCGTTTTTATCCTTTCACTGCTAACGAGCAAAATGATGCANAAATAGCTGTCAGCCGAGCGGGCACGAAAGTTAATTACCCCCTTACAGCTTGTAGTAGGCGGGACGGACATTTAAGCCGGTGTGGCATGCTAGACCCGTTCCGTGACAAAATCGTTCTGCACATGCGCATTAAGGGTAGATTGCAAGAAGGAACTTCCGGTATGACGATGTCGTCCTAAGTAGGCGCTATGTTTGCACTGAACTATGATCTTTCAATTTATAATTCAGTGGTTTCCGTCATGAGAGAGTATGTATTTGATAATCTTATAACTACAGTATACGAGTGAATGTTGGAAATGAGCTTTTGATCGTGACTGAACTGTTTTGCTCTGTGAGAAAAACGTGGTAGATCTAAGACTCGTAGTATAAATGTTTTCACTCTACCATGTTCTTTCAATTCAGAGTTAGGTAATTTTCGTTAAAAGGATATTGTGTGTTTGATAATACTATAACTTTCTCTACGGGAAAATGTTGGAAATGCATGTGCAGCTACGTACTGTAAATCAACGGACTGCTACCCCCGCGTGAATAATCCGACGACGGTTTCTTCATGTGACACCGGATTATCTGATCGACAGTAATCTAGTGAGACTCCCCACGGGGATAGATCGATCTAAAATCTATAGGAATGCACCCTTAAAGTTCAGAACGGGTTAAGAAAAAAAAAAAAAAAAAAACGAGGAACAGAAATCAGAAGGCGAGGAAGGTACAGGTGTAGGCCAATGAGTAATTAAAAATAGCGAATAATTATTACTGTTGGACGACTATTTATACAAAGAGGTGTGTTGTTAGACATACCCATGCATTTTTATTTTTATTTTTTTAACTGCTGACGTTATTTCTTTGATTCACATTTTTAAACTTTTGTTTTTAGAAATCGTGCCAACTGCATTCATGCCAAGAGAATGACCCGGGATGTTTGTTACCCCTGACCGGCTTCGTCAACATGCAGTTCATTCTGACTCTGAAACTTACCCAAGTACAAAGCTGGCAAGACTGGATCATCTTGTTCAAAGAATGCGTCTCGGACAGTTTGTTCACTATCCAGTCCTCGCTCCATATCGACCCCTTACGGGAAGGAATATATGGTGTTTCCTTACAAACAGGATGCGGCACCCCGTCGTTCCATGGAGAATACACCCTTGTTCGTGTACCAGTTAAACTGGCGAAATCGGTCCCCCGCATCCCTGACGGCCTGCGTTGGTTCGAACGATTTGAAGATCGAGTTGCAGCTTATATTCAAGACATAGGCAGCCAGCTGTCCATTGGCAACATACCTTTTAATGCAAGCGTCGTGTTTAATCGCACATCCGGGAACGTCTCTGACGCAGCATTGCCGGCTACTTCTACATCTGGACACGGCACGTTTGTTTTTAGCAAGGGATGCGTCCTTCAAGTGCCTTTGGTACTTAATTTGCTTGTAGTATTGGCGTGTTTGTTTCCTAAACTCATTCCCTAACTATACGCGCCAAGAGAAGCAGAGATCAGACGTAATTTGTACTGGTGTTTTTATTGCGAAGAAAATGACACAGGTTATCCAATGATTTGGAACAATGAACAGTACGATAACCTGTGGAGAAAAGCAGACCAAAACCCGGATGTTTTGTGAAACAATGATGTTAAGTTTTTTTACCCTTTTTGATCCCAGACTTGTATTGTTGAGTTTAGAAGCATCATGGGGGGAGGAGGAAAGAAAAAAATTCCTAATGACGTCAAGCTATTTTTGACGTAGTGGACGTACTTATTTAATTGGGAATACCTGACCACACCCGCAATCCGGACTTAATATTAACGATTAAACACGATGTAATGGTATCATGTTTCAAAAATAAATTGGAAAGATCCGGTGCGAAATTAAAGCTATTGAGCAAAGAAAACGTCACAGTACCGAATCAAAAGCTTTTTCAAAGTCAAAAATTGTATAATAATTTAGACAACGTATATATATAAAATCAATCGATAAATAAATAAACAAGAGACATGCAATAACCCCTACTCCGAGTTTAGAGCTCCAAGTCAGTGTCCTTTGAGAGGGGAATGTTTGTCTAGCAGCATTGTGTACCAAGCAACAGTTACTACTAAGAACAAATGCATGAAATATATGGGCCTTTGTGGTGGGCAATTTAAGTTGAGATATAATAATCACACTAAGTCATTTAGGGACAAAAAAATATGCTGTAGAAACTGAGTTATCCAAATATATTTGGAAATTAAAAGAAAATAACAACCTGAATGACATTAGATGGGACATCATAAAGAAATCAGCGCCGCAAAGGAGAAATCAGCACCTATGCAACCTTTGCCTGGACGAAAAACTTTTAATAATGATAACACCAGATACTCTAAATAAAAGAACTGAAATATGTAATTACCATGTGTCGGCATAAGGTGACGTAACTAACACGGCGTGCGACGTAAATGTCGTCACGCCGTGTACGTAAAACGGCTAATAATACCATTATCAAATAAACCTCCTGACGATCGGGCATACCTTCTGGGGATGCCCGTGAAACTCGGAGTCGGGGTTATTGCATGTCTCTTGTTTATTAATTTATTGATTGATTTTAATTGTGTACAAATGCTCCGGACTGTTGAGCACTCTGTTCCACACTCAAGCTTGTTATATATATATATATATATATATATATATATATATATATATATATATATATATATATATACGATGGATATTTTTACACTCAGTGGAACTTCTCATAATATATCCTTACTGATAATTTAATAAATTTGGCTAAAATTATTTTTATTTGTGTACAAATGAGAAGCGGAACTTCTGTCATGTAGGACTCTCTGTCACGTCCCACCGGCTCTCTGTCATACGGGCCCTCAGTTTTGTCACAAATTCGCTGGAAACTTTTCATTTTGTTTGCAGCTGTTAAAATTTAAGTACTTAAGGTGTCCTGTATCAGGAGGGAGGTTTGTGAACGCAGATAAAATAAACAAATTGAATACAAATTTGAACTACACAGCAAAGCTGGCAAATATACAGACATCAAAAAGGTAGAAACATCAACAAAATACACGTAAAAAATTACTTAAATATGAGGCGAATGTCATCAAAATTGTGGAAAAAACTAGAAAACAATCGCTGTTAATGCAAACTGGTCATGCCATTTTGGGAAAGCAACCTTCAACTTTACCAAACAAAGCCAATCAGGAAATTTTAAAGTAAAACAAAAATATGGTTTGGAAGTTATGGGGCGAACGACATGTGTTGGGCACCAACAGCGACGACAGACAAACCGATCAGAATAAACCATCTACAGGCATTTCTGGTGTCTGCGTATAAAAACTATCAATTTAAAAACTCGAGCATTGGTAATCTGCAAAAAAAAAAAAAAAAAAAAAAAAA